AATTTATTCAAGTTTACAGTTTACATTTATAAAATAGTTTTATTGTTGCTTGGATTGTTAATCTAATTGTTACACATATTTCAATATCATGTTAATATTTGTGTAGATTCATCAAATATGCTGAGAAAAAATCATAATGCTAATTCTTTAGCTCACTTTGTGGACAACCCAATCAAAACTCCAGTTTTGCCTAAATTTTTAGACTCCTACAACAAGGAACAAAGATGCAAACGAACTATTTAACCAGGAAAACTCAAAACAAGATCATTATGATATATGAGGAAATCTTGTTTGCTTCTATTGTTAAAGATATCTACGCAGCCATTTATTTTTCCATAATATTTATTGAAATTCCAAATCACCTTTATTCTGTGATTTGTTCGCTTTGGCTCTGACATGTAATTCCTACTATCAAAACAAAGAAGCGTTTTAAACGTAGAAAATTTGGAGAAAAAAAAAAGGGCTGCAGACGTTGCAAAGCTGATTACGGAAATTTTAGATCAATACCAAATTGAGTTGAAGAACTGTAAAAGCCAGAGCTATGACAACAGAGTTAACATGTTTGGTGTATATTCTTTAGAATATTCTTGAGCTTTGTTCATATCTCACAGTGAGCATAGCCTTAAATTAAAGACTTCGTTCTTCCTGACCCCAAAATATCCAATTTGGGTTATAAAATAATTTTGAAGATAAGAAGAAGAATGGGTAGCTCAAAAGACAACAGACATTTTTTTGTACTTATGGCGGTCTCTATCTCATAATCAATAAACCCATAGCCAGAAAAAAAATACAAAGCGCCGGCAACTCCCCACTTAAATTGTGAAAAAGAAGTGTCAATTGAAGAAATCCATCATCTAGATGTTTTCAAACGATCAAAATAGAAATTCTTTCTTTGATCAATTCTCTCAAAACAATCTATTTTAAAGGCCTTCAGTCAATATTTCCTGTTATCTGTGTTTCACATTTCGTTTTCAATAAAATCCCAATTTCAGTAGCTGAATAAGAGCGCTCATTTTAAGTAAGTTTGCTCTCATCAAAACCACATTGCAACAAACTATGACTAAATAACACCTTATTAACCTTATGGTGATTTAAATTGAAAACGACCTTAGCTACCATTTGCTAAGTAACTATTTTCATAGATAGACATATTCGTAAAAGCATTATTTCGCATTCTACAGAATATTTGCAAGATAGTGTTTGGACGTATTTTTTGTCAGTCATTATGAACTAGAGAATAAGTAAACAGATTTTTTTCCCAGTTAGTTAACAATTAAAATTTTAAATACTTTGTTATTATAAATAAATAGGTAATATGCCGCCTTTTGTACCTTAACTTTTAATTTTTGTTATAAATAAAATTTATTAAGTCTTGCGCCTACTCTTTGATTTTTATTTTTTATGGTAATACCATGACCTTGAATTTTATTTTCAGAAATCTTGTATTTAAAAATATATAACCTTTTAATACTACGTTAGCTGAGTATTTGTAAAAGTTTTTTTAATTAGAAAAAGTCATTAATTCAGCTTTAGTGACCATTTTAGCGATGTTATAAATGTTGCTTGATAAAATACTTTATAAAAGTGTTTAAAGTACAAACGCTGGAACAAAAATGTATTTTAAATAAAAATACAAATACAAATACTCCAAAAGTATTTCAATTAAAATACTTTTAAAAAAAGTATTTAAATACTGCATTAACTAAAGTATTTTGTATTTACTTTGGAAATACAAAATACGTTACGACTTTACGACTAAAAAATACGCAATTTTAAAATTTATTTTTACACATTCTTATTACTAAAAAATTGTTATTAGTCATTTATACTGAATTTAAATTTAAATATCATTTATTCAGTTATTCACATTTGTTTTTATCAGCAGCAATCGTTCGAACATATAAAACTTAGACAATTACGCCTAGGTGTTTGTATTTGTCCCGCTGTGATAAATAGTTGTTTAACTGGAGCAGACGATGGTACAGTGGTACTGAACTTGACAAGCAGTGACCGAATAGTTTTACACTTATTCAAAGAAATCAAACACATATCTTTATCATTCAGATACAAAATGCATTTTTGCTGAGCACTATTTGCAGCACCAGCCTTTAGAGTGTCATCATTATATACAACAAAGTTTTCAAATGTCCTACCAATGTTCACAATGAGATTGGTCGCTGTCAACGATTCACAGGCAGCTAGTATGGAATTTTTAAATATTTCTCTGCAGATAATTTGTTTATTTGTTGGCATCCACCGTAACTGGAAAAGTGTGTGAGAACTGCTGCAACAATTATGTATGAATTACTCACATCAAATCTAAGTTATTTGTTACTGCAGAATTGTTAGCAAGCATAAAATTAATTTGTTGCTGCAGAATTGTTAGCAAGCATAAAAACGAGTTTTTATGCTTGCTAGCAATTCTGCAGCAAATAATTTAGCATATTTTAATTGCCATCTTTCAAACATTTTTAATTTCACCTCTAAGCTATGCAAATGTGGAAACACATGGCCAAAAAACACAATATCCCCTTGCAAAGTATCCAAAGTTTAGTAAAAGGTTTCATGACCAAGGCATATTCTTAAAGACATTCTTGCTTTTTAAAATTTAGCGCATTCAAAGCATTATAATATCATTAAGTTTGTCACATAATTCAATTAATCGCTTGATAGCATCATACTTGGAATTTCAACGTGCTGCTACGGAGCAGAGTATTGCTTTGTCTGTATTATTTGATACAACACCTGATGCTTTGCTACTTCGTCAAGATGCTTTCCTGCGCTATAGGTACGCTTAAACATACTGTCTGTATCACATGCTTTCTTAGCAACATTAGTTGGCAATAGATTCAGCGAATGGCTGATACATGTTTCATGAAAGGGCAAAGAAATACTCTCGGCTATGGACTTATTATCATCATCATTATGTTCTGGTGAAACTGAAAGAATGTCTTCAATACTAGTTACATCATTTTCATTCTCATTATCTTCATCCTCCTCCATGTTCTCTTGTTCTTCAAAAGTATTAGGTGTGATAGTCCCAATTATATTAGTTGCTGCTACACTTGTAGTTGACTTGTAGTTGAAAAAATTATCTGAATGCTTTTCCAAAGTTTGACACATTGTCGGTGACAGTTGCTGTAATTTTTTTCTACGTTTATGTTATATTGACAATAAATTTTAGAAACCATTGCAGCAATTGTGTCATATGTGTTACTACCATAAAATCAACGGCAAGCAGGGGATACAGATGCTTGAGAAACCGAAATAGAATCATCTAGTGGCATTTCAGTATAATGCGCAGTCATGCCAATATAACTTTTTTCTATTGGCTGACCAGATATCAGCAGTAATACAAACAAATAATGCTTTTTTTCAGTTTGCTTCTTTTTTTTTCTTCATGCAATCTAAAAAGCTTTCCATTTAAACGTTGGTTAAGAGTCTTGCGACACATGATACTTAGATTAGGATTAAACCCACAAAGCAGTCAACAAAAAGCCAATTTTTCAAGCGTAGACGCATCTTTTCAGTAATAAAATCTGTAATTGAAGTTGTCAGCTTTTTCTTGCTATATAATACAATGTTGTGGTAAAAATTACAATGGTGTTTTATGGAAAGTAATTTATTTAAACTTCTTGTTAGCAGGGTCTTCATCAGTCGTTCTTCCTACACCAGCCTTGCCTAGCTTACGTTTTCTCTGAACATCTGCCTTGTGTTCCTTATAGTCTCCAAAGCAATTCTTGTGTGAGTTCTATAAAGTAAACATATATCCTTTAAAAAAATAAGTTTTTACTTTGCTGTAACTAAGTAAATATTGTAGATTTCAATATATATTAACTTTTGCTTGATTAAATATTTGCTTGTTAATAATTAATTGCATATTTTTCATAATAGATAAGGTAAATTATTTTTAACTAGTATTAAATTTTTAAATTACCTTTAAATGCTTAACCAAACTTGAAGTTGCCCAATAATGGCTTTGAATTACGTACACATATTGAATTACGTACACATTTGAATTACGTACACTTTGAATTACGTACATAATACTGATTTTTTCATACCTTCTTTTGATCTGGCTAAGATTTTAAAAAAGGTACCATCTATAATGGCTAATATAATTTCATTATTTTCTTCAGTCATTTCGTTTTTACGGGTGACGGTAGCCATCTTTAAACTGAAATTGTTTATTCCCGTGACACTGATAATTTAGTGCGGCCGTGGCGCAGTGGTTACAGCGCTTGCTTTATAAGCAGGAGATCGAGGTTTGAAACAAGCTCTGGATATATTTTCGCGTTGCGGTAAGGAAGGAGGCGTGCACTTCCGGGGAGCTCTGTGACAAGACCGTTAGGTCTTCTTGTGGCACTTAAATAACAACAACAACAACAAAAAAAAAATTACCTTAACGAAGCCAATATAGATAAACCATGATAAATAAATCAAGGTAGATAAATAAACAAGAAATAATTTAAAATAAATAGTGGCAGAGTGACACTATGACATAATTTATTACACGAACAACTAAACTAACTGTTATTAACATAACAGTTAGTTTAGTTGTTCGTGTGCGGTGTTGTAAATGTTTTAGATAATATTTGAATTATAGGTATTTTCAATTATTACAAAATACAAAATACTAAATAAAGGTACTTTTTGTATCAAATACTTAATATTTTTAACAAAAGTATTTATAATACAAATACGAAGAAAGTATTTAAAAAACCAGGTACCCGGTTGCCCGTGTAAAATAAATAGTTTTTGAGCAGACGTGGTGCAGTGGTTAGAAATCTGGCTTAAAACCCAGAGATCCGAGGTTCAACGCCAGCTCTAGCCCAACAAGCGACATTGGTACGGAAGGAGGCGTGAACTTCTTGTTAAATATATATAAATAATTACTTTTAAGTAGATTTTAAAAGAAAATTAAATTGAAACTTTTTTTTGATAGAAAATAAATAAAGAATAAAAAATTAAAAAAAAATTAAAATAAAAAATGCTTTTACTTGCTTCTCACAAAAACGAATCTCTTGATTGCAATGTTGACATGTAATCAAACGATAAATGCATTTTGTTTCCGTGTGATCACTTAGTTCTTTACGCAAAAGTAAAGTAGAACACTGTTCATTGAGGCATTCTACCTCTTGGTATTCACAAGATCCTAAATGATTCTTAAAAAAAAATTATATTTAAATTATTGTGAAATATCTGAAAACAGCACTTTTTTTAAACTGCACTGTATTTTAAATGTTGCTAATATTCGTTTTTATCATAAAATATTCAGTAGTTTTTCTGATTAGAAATTTTGAAGTGAACTACTTCAGGAATAAAACATATTTTCACAAAAAATAAAATCTAATTAAAATTTCTCAATGATTTTTGCCTAAAATAATTCAATATGTAGGGGCGGTAGATTAATCGGTATTTCAAGTTGATTAACGATTAATTTTCGAAAAATTAATTTATTAGTTGCAATTAATTTTACAGATAAACTCTACAGTTTAAAAAAATTAAAGACAATTTATGATATATGTTAGAATAATAATCTATAAGATTATGAGAAAAACAATTTTGTATTTCTATACTTTATAAAAAAATTTAAAATAATAATTTTTTTTTATTCAATATAGATACACAAAATTAAAATAAACTGATTTTTTAAAACAATCGGCATCGGCCAATGGTTACCAAAACCGCTGCCAAGGCCGATGCATCGATGCACTGATTTTTATCAGGTATGATCTTAAAAATACATCTTCTAAAGTATATTGATAAGTTATTATCAATTTCATCATTTAAACTAGTTCGTAACTTAATAACAAATAAAGCAACAGCACCATGGCGTCCATATAAAATGGTGGGAGCTTGGCCTTTTTTCAGTGATTTTAAATGCTGCCTTGTTTTAATTAATACAAGGCAAAACCTCTTGTGGGGGTGACTTACTAGTTAGTCCTTTTGTTCTTCCTGTTGCTTAAGTTGTATTTGATATCAATTTTGCTAATTCGTTAACCTCAGTTTTTTTTATTGGTTCTACATTACAAGCTGATTTAATATCAAACTAAGGTGTTGTTTCTGGGCCTTTTTTCTTATAAAGTATATACCATAAGATTAATGCCATTGAAACTGCAAAGTTGGTAAGTAATTCGTCTCATTTTTTTCATAACTGATGCCCCATCAGCAACACACCCAAAGATATCATTAATCTGAATTGAGCTAAAGTCATTTCACCGGTACCGGAACAGTCAAAACAAATTATGCTGTTTCTTAAAAAAATTTTATTTTGTAATTAATACAAAATACAAATGAAAAGAATTATAATAATGTTATAGTTAGAAAAAAAAAAAAATTCGAATTATCGTTTCTTAATTAATCGATTAACAATTAATTTTTATTTTATCGTTCACCACTCCCTCTTAGATTTAATTTGCTGCATTAAATTTATTAAATACTTTACAACAAAATTTAAAATACATACATTAATTGCTTTAAGTTCTCCAGTCCATTGACAATTTTTTAAAAAGTTGTTACATTTAACTTTTAATTGCAGAACGGCTCTTTCAATTGCTTTATCTCGAAAAGTCTAAAGGAAAATATTTTATCAATTTTGAGTTAAAACTATTATAAAAAAAAGAAAAGTTGTCTAATTTTTATTATTATTATTTTTTAATTATTATAATTTTTTTTGCCGTTTAATACATTAATACAGTATATATTATATAAAAACTACAGACAGCCGGGGCAAGAAGACACACAATTTGTTTTATAAGCGCCGTGTTTTTCCAAATAAACAATATAAATTTACAAAATATGATAGCATTGAAAAATTATACAGTCGACTCTTGATATCTCGAACACTAAAGGGATCGGAAAAAAAGTTTGAGATATCAAGAGTTCGAGATATCAAGAAAAGGGTTAAAAATAAATAAAATTGCCCGACTTTCATAAAAACAAGTTATTTTTTTGACAAAAATCATTAACAACAAAAACTACAACTTTTGAAAAAAATCTGTTATCTAATATTGCTTTAACTTATCCATCTTTTCCATCTTCATTAAATCCTCAAGTTTTAGTGCTTGGGATTGTGTTTCATTTCCGTATATTGGGCCCAAAATAATGTATAGCGAAGCATTTTGAATGGTTTCAAAAGCAATTTCTAACTGAATATCAGATGGGCGTGGCGGGGCTTCAACGTCAATAGCTTCGTCAACGCTATCTTCAACTTCATTATCGTCGTTTTCAAAATTAGGGTCTAAAATCTGAGCAATGATTTCAGCATCAATAGCAAGTGAACCGGTGGTTATTACATCGCAATCTAAACCAATGTAAGATTCCGCTGAGAGATCTTCTTGGACGGCACGAGGATCTAACTCTTGCAAACGGTTAAGTTCTTCTGTCAAAAATTTAAAAAGATGATCATCATCAGCTTTTTCAATAGTCATATTTTTTTTGCTGATACCAGCTTTTTTAAAGCAGTTGATGGCAGTCTTCTTCGACACAGCATTCCACGAAGAAACAAGATCTTTCATTGCTTGAAGTATAGAAATTTTTGGCATGGGTTCGTTACTATCGACAGCCTTGATACACAAACGCACAATTTTGTGACGATAGTGAGCTTTAAGACTTCGTATTACGCCTTGATCCATGGGCTGAAGGACATTTGTGGTTTTAGGGGGGAAAAATATTAGGTTGATGTTGCTTAGCCCTTCAATGGGTGGGTGGGCAGAACAGTTATCCACCAGGAGTGCTACTTTTCTGACTTGAGTACAACAAAATGAGTCAATTTTCATTACCCATTCTGTAAAAAGATCTCCGGTCATCCAACTTTTTAGCTGATTTTTATATGTGCAAGGAAGTTGTTTAATGTGCTTAAAACACCGTGGGTTTTTAGATTTTCTAATAACAAACATAGGTAATTTTTCTCCCGTTGCACTCCCTGCTGCTATGCCTGTTAGTCTGACTTTACTAATTTTCCCCCCAAAACATTTTTCTCGTGATAAATGTTTTGTTTGGTATGTACTGGTAAAATAGTCCAAACTCATCGGCATTGAAAATGTTTTCAAGTTTGTAATTCAAAAGCAATGTTGGAAGTGTAGTTTCATTCCACGAAGCAGTCATATTATTCGTCACGGCGGCACTTTCGCCTGAGATTATTTTAAAGCTTCCTAAAAATAGGAACAGAATAATTGAATTTTAATTACACGTTTAAAAAACTAAATAAATTAAATATAAACAGATACATGTTATTTGTTTATATTAAAGTTAAACAAGATTTTACAAAGTTTTACTGACCTTTCTTTCCAATTATGAAACCAACAAACAGATGCTTTAAAATCCAACTCTCCTAATGCTTCTGCGAAACTCTTTTTGAAAAGAACCACGTGTATATGGACTTGTCTACATTTTTGAAATTACCACTACGAAGTTTCTTCTGTTTAGATTTTGTGCCATTTTTTTCTAGTGAGGTTAATAACTTGGTTTTATTTTTAATCCAGGTTGATAATGTGTTCTTTGGGACTCCATACTTTTTGGGAACCTCTTTGTTAGACATCTCTGTCTCTAGGTCTTTTAATGCCTAGCATTTTTCTATTATAGATTTGTTCGTGAGTTTTCGTTTAACGACCGGCATGTTGTTGCGTTTGACAAAAATAATAAATTAATATATAAAAGGAAAACTTTTCAGAAATTCGATTCTTAAAAAAAAACAAATTTAAAAATTGAATTAAATTTTTTTTTTTTCGAAAATTGGAATTTAAAAAAAACTAAATTTTATTAAAACATTTTTGAAAAAAAAATGTTGAAAAGTTCGAGATAACGAGAGAAAATTGCCCTGTGGACCAAAAATATTGTTCGAGATACCAAAAAGCTCGAGATATTAAGGTTCAAGATATCGAGAGGATTTTAGCCTAAACTAGTACGTTATGTCCATTGGACCGCTAAAAAAGTTCGAGATACTCAAAAGTTCGAGATATCAAGTATTCGAGATATCGAGAGTCGACTGTAATACAAATTTCCTTTTAAAAAAAAATTAATAGATAAACACTAAAATAAACTTAAAGGAAAAAAGCAAAAAAGTAAGTCATTTAAGGAAGTAAGTTATAAAAAAAAATTGAAAAAAATAGAGTTTACCTGATCAGGTTTCAAATTATTATTGTCTAATGGGCAAATTAAAACACCGTTTTTTCTAAAATAGAAAAAGCTTGCTATTTATAAAGGTAAGTTTTATTTATTGGTAATAAAAACAATACCTATTTAAAAAATTAAGATTTCTATTCTTGAGTTTTAGTTAATATAAATAGTTTATTTTGAACACTATTTTATATTATTTATTATGTGTCAAGTTGTTCATTGTTTAGCTCTGTTGATAAATTATAATTTATGAAAAGTTTTACTTAATTGCGATTTTTTTGCGTTGTAATTTTGCAAAGATAACGAATGGTAGCAATACTAAATTGATTATTGTTATTATTATTATTATTATTATTATTATTATTATTATTATTATTATTATTATTATTTTTATTGTAATTACTTTATTAGTTGTGTATGTATTTATGGGGATCAGTGAGTTTTTTTATTTATCGGACTTGTTTTATTTATATTTAGTTTAAATTCTGGGCTTTAATCCTCTTCTAATTTCTCTTCGTACTTTCTATCTGATTGTTTTGAAACAATATTAACTGAATCAGTTGTGTAAATAAAAAAAAGATAAAAAATAAATAATTATTTACATGTCGAAACTTAAACACCACGAATCTCAAAATTCGGCTATTTTGAGTTAAGTATTTTTAACTCAAAAATATATTTCAAAGTAAAATTTTAACATAAATACGTAAAAATGACTAAAAAACTAGAAATATCTACAATAACTAAATAATTTTGTAAGAAACCAAAATGCGACAATAAAAAATCTGTCAGCAAACAACTAGAAGAATATGATTATAGCCAGATAGTGATAAATATGTCACAAACACCCAGAACTGACAGTGTTGAGGAAATAAAGACATGTTTTCCTCTCATTTGTATGTCTGCTATGTGGAATTAAAGAAAAAAATTACCTCTGGCGTATATCTCATTTTGAAAAACTAGGGTGTTGTTTATATACACAAGTAAAACGCATAAAACTCAAGAAACCAACCATTTTAAAGAGTGGATTTCAACGTCGATAATTTTTTATGGAAAAGATAAAAAGCCACATTTGGCTTCTTTGCAAAAAATAATATATGATCATATTTAGAGCAAAATTTTCCATTTTCTTATTTATTTAATTTATTACAACTTCATAAATTAAATGGCGTAATTATTGCTCCATGTCTGAAATTAAGATCAACTTGTATTAATATTATATATTATATTTCAAAAAATAAAAAATCAAAGTTCTGTAAAACGATTAGTGATGTCCATAAATTACGTCACCCTATTTTTTACCGCTTTGACCTCCTTCCCCTCGTCACAAAATTGTAACACTTAAGTTGCAAGTTTTGTATGAGTTGTCACAAACCATTAACCCCCTTTCCTTCTCGTTAGAGCGTGGTATAATTTATGAACGAACCCTTACTCAAAATAATGGCAAAATATCAATGTTTACAAATGTATTCACAACGTTGAATAAAAAATCGACACTCATTATGTTTTATAAATGTGAAATAATTAAAATAGAGGATCAACAATATCTATTTCTGGATTTAATCAAATTAGAGAATCAAGTAGCGAGTACCATTAAAAACCGTTTATTGAAATGTCTTAAAAGTTACGGCTTTTACAAAAAATGTTTAGCTCACAACTTAAGGCGAGTTTCCACTCATCTGTTTTTCAACGGGAACGGGATAGGAAAGGAAAAAATAATCACGTGAGCATCGAGTGCTATGTATCAGATAGGTGTCATGCTCATTTAAAACAGAGGCTGCTGTTTATCAAAATTTTTAAGTTTTGTGTGTTCATTTCTAACAAACCAGTAACAATAAGAAATGCACAATAACAGAATAGTGTCCTGGTTTATAAAACATATTTTGTCAAAAAATTTCCTATTAAATTTAGCGCTGATGTACGACATCCTTTATGAGTTATCTTTTTTATCGGAGTCGTTACAAAACCAACGTACAACAATTATCTATGCAGACAGAAAATTTGTCAAACCTGAATATATTTAGAATAATATTAAAAAAAGGAAATAAAATAACTACTACTAGCTAGCGCATAACGTTGCGAGTCAGTAAAATTATGGTTGAAAAAAAGCGATCTTTCAACGTTATTTCAGCGTAAGATCAACATAGAAAAAAAAAAACGTTGAGAATTTCAACGTTAATTTTAACAACTTTTTTTTATGAAGAAAGTACTTAAAAATTAAAGTTGAATTAACGTTAAAATTTTCAAATTTTTTTTTTAACGTTTAACTTATGTTGAAATAACGTTGAAATTTAGATAGTTAAAAATCAACCTAAAAAATTTTAATGTTATTTTAACGTTTATTTTTAGCTTTTTTTTAACGTCGAAAATGAATAAAAGTTTCTCAACGCAAATATTTGGTTACTAAAACTAAAATTACGCAGTGGCGGATTAAGACTTCTTAGGGCCGGGGCTAAAGCCCCTCTAGCCCCCCTTAACCCAGCACTGATATTACGGTATTAAAATAAAATTTAATATTGCACATTGAATACTGCACATAGATTTCTTTAACATCTTTTAATATTATTTAAAATCTAGATTTTTTTAAAGAAATTTTTGTTTTTTTATTGAATATTTGAAATTTTTTTAAATTGCAATAAAAATATTATATTTATTTATCATTTAAACAATATTGATGTTCATATGTTTATTATGATAACTACCTACCCTAACTACACGAGTTTATAGCGGAACTTAAGTAAAAAATAGGTACCTATTTTGGGTGAGTTAGTAGTTGTTTGAGCGAGCTTTTTTTCAGAAAATTTGATAAGTAGGAAGAATAAAGGTTTTTGCAGAAGTCTAAATATTTTAGAATAAAGTCTCAGCATTCCTTTAATATATACCTGATGCACAAACAACAATGAAGTTTTAAGTAACAATAAATTCGTTGTAAACAGAGTTTCACCAACAAGATATTAAGTGAATGCTCAAACTATGAATCAGCTATGCAAGTTTTACAGTCTGTTTACATCAAACCATCAAATAGAGTTTATACACGACATCATTTAGCAAAACGTAAACAACAGCTAGAAAATGATTTTGTGAGTATATACTAGTTATTAAAGTTGTAGACTATTACTATAAATCGGTTTCTGCAATTGAATACTAAATTAATCTGCGGAAGACAAACAAACGTGTTTTACAAAGAGATGAGACTATTGCAAATGAAACGATAATAGCTAGACAAAAGCTTCGCAGATCCATGATTGATAAAGAATGTCTTTGGTCCAAGATAAATAAATAGAAAACAAAGTTTAAAGAGGAATCGACCAATTGTTGACTCTACCCAACAGGCATTTGTTGGTTTAAAATTGGTTTAGATCAGTTTAGATGGCATTTACGTCAATAAAACGTTAAGGAATCTATTCTAAACGTGTTCTGAATATTTAATTTGCGTTGAAAAGCTAAATCAAACAATTTTCGTACGGAACTAACATATTTAAATTAGTTTTGCAAGACTCTTTAATGTCAGACATTTTCGCACACACTCTTTAATGTCGGACATTTTGAATCTTTCATTATGATTAAAAATTAGAATTTTTTATGAATCTTAAATTATGTAATAAATGGTTTAAAGAAGGTAAAAATATTTTCAGATTCAGCATTTTTTAAAACTGTCTTAAATTGTTTTTTCTGTTTGGTTTTTAACAACGCTATAGAACGTCTATAGTTCACTCTTAGCTTCCTAATTTTTTTTACTTTTACTAAAAGTAGAAAAATTATGAAAAATAGTTACCACTTAAAATACATAAATTTTCTCTACAAATTTTAAAGAAAAATTTTACATTTTAAATGGTAACTACTCTTTAAATAAGTAAATGAATTTTTTATTGTTTGTTTATATTAAGACCTAACATCTATTTGTTTATGATAGTGTTATATTGATCGAATAGCAATATTATAATATTTATACTTTTAGTGCAGTCAGTGCCAATCAAAAATTGTGAGGTTCAAATATTTATATAATGGATTTTCAGTTTTATTGCAGGCTTTTAGTGTAAACTGAAAAATATTTTTAAAAATTTAAATTTCATTCATATTCTTATATGATAACTACAAAAGAGAAAATAAATTTACTTACCTCTGATATGTTAGATTATTATATTGTATCATTTATTTTCTCTTTTGTAGAAAAGTTAACATGGTTTTAGTGGAAAAGTTAACATGGAACAATAATTTATATAGCTTTATTACATAATTTTCTAAAATCCGCACAAATATATTTTTTATTGTTAATTAAGTTTTGCGTGTTTAATTACATTTAATATTTTATATACAGTCCAGACAGTTACAACAACAATTGAAGCAGCAGGAAACAGCCAACTACGCATGCAAGTGGTAAATTGGTTTTTTGTGACGTTTTTACTCCTTTAAAGTTTAGATTTTCCTAAAATAATAATTAAGTTAATGACTATTTCTGTAAAGATCATTCTGTAAATAAAAATTGCAATGATTTTTAAAACTGATAGTTGTTTTTTTAGAAATTACTAGATAAACTGCAAACTCTGTACTCTTAGATATGGTTCTAATAGTTGAACATCTGTCAGATGTTTACCTTTTAAATCATAATCTAATTGCTTAGGCTGATGAAAAGCTATTTATAAAAATTCAACGCTTAAAAGATTAAATTTAATTCCTGTTTTATTTGAAAGGTACGTTAAAGATTGGTTCGAGTTTTTAAAGTTTAAAATAGTTAAAAGAGAGTTCAAATTACTCTTTTTTTATCTTATGCTCTATATCTAAAAGCTATTTAAATATTTACTGCATTATTATTCATTTAGTTTATTATGTTACGAAAGACCTACCAGGCCTGAAATTTTACGGGTCGAAATATATAGTATGTATATGTAGGGGAGGGGGGGGGGCATAACCGCATATGGAGGCACAACCGTTTTTTAACATTTTTCTTCAAAAAATGTTTTCTGATATGGAAAAAAACATACCACGCGTTAGTAAAGCATTTTCCTTTATTTTGCATATGTCAAAAAGAGTGACTGTTAAGTTTCTGAGAAGTTGTGA